CAGCTTCTCCAAAACCCAATAATAACTTGGAGCCGTCTCATCCCTGATGATTGCATGACCAATCAGAAAGTTCTGGTTCGTTGGAGCCATCCCAACCATCTCAACCAGAGGGAACTTGTACTTGTTTGTCTTGTACGTTGAGTCGATCAAAATCACAAATGGCCAAGACTTGATCATATCAGCACAATCAGGATGCACAAGGAAAAGATGAGTCACCTCCGCTGTATCTTCATCAGAATCAAACCAGAACAGGTAACCACGTGATTGTGCCTGGTGTAGCAGCTGCTGTATAGGGTTCCTTCCCTCTGACCGTTCAAACCTGAGTTGCTGTCTGACGTTGTAGATGTGTCTTCGGTTTGGATGGTCTTTTGGAAATTTCTCTAACACAGATGCTAATATTTTAGCAGGCTTCACTTGAGCATCACTCATTTCTTTCACAACTAGTTTCGCAGCAGGACTTAAGCCGCTCAGTTGTCGATGACCCTCTTCATATACTATCATCTCATGGTTGTGATACCCCCATTTAGAGTAACCTATCACTTCCCAACCGTCACGACTCCGTAGTTGTCGAACCTTTACTCTGAACTCACACCCACAACCTTTCCGCTTTGTGTCAAACCGAGTGGCTGTACGAAAATCTCTTTCTTCTCTTTTGCGATAACGGTCACATCTCAAAATGTGATCCATTCTACCATCCCGTTGAGATTTATGAGTTGCTACTACCAAGCAAAATCCAGCTGCAATTGCAACCTGTTTTGCCCAATCAATCGCCTGTTGAGCTTCTTCGAATGGACCATCATGTCCAAATATCTCACTGTAATCATTTCCGTCTCCACCATATTCCTGCATCAATTATATATTACAATAAATACATTTAACGGATAATACATTTAATTTCTATATTTCCACATAATTAACACAAAAAAAAACATAATTATATATAATCAAACTTAATTTTTATAAAAACCCAATTCGAATTTTCAAACTAAATTTAAAAATATACCATTTCGAATTTTCAAATTTAATTTTAAAAAAACCTATTTCGAATTTTCAAATTTAATTTACAAAAAACCCATTTCGAATTTTTTTAAAAAATCATTTTCGATTTTTTATTTTCACAAAAAAATTAAATAAAAAACAACAACAAAATCAAAAAGGAAAAAATAAAAATTAATTATTAAAGGTGGCGTCTGCCAGGGCTGCCACACCCACTGGACTGGCGCCTGGCAGGGCCGCCTCACCCAGTGGAGTGGCGTCTGCCCAGGACGCCAGTCTGGTGGTCTGGGCGTCTGGGCTGGACGCCACTCTCGTGGTCTGGGCGTCTAGCCTGGACGCCACTCTGGTGGTTCTGGCGTCCGGCTTGGACGTCCAGGCTACGGTTTGGGCGTCCACCCTAGGCGCCGGAGCCACTACGACGGTAAACCGTGAATTTTAGCGGTCACTTACCTCGTTTTCCGTCGACGACGACGTACCTCCGGCGTCCCCCGCATCTCCGGCCTGCCATCCGGTCACCCCCGGCGAGCCAGTACGGCTCCACATTTTTTACACCGAGATTATCTCAATTTTAGCAAAAGGGCATAATGGTCAAATCATAACATATTTGTGGGCTTTATATGGTAAATTGCGGGCGATGTTTAACGTTTCACTTAACTAGTTGTCAATATAATGATCACCAAAAGGACTTGGTAAATACCATTTACCTGGCCCCTTTAATAGAGTAATACTAGTGTCTCCAAAAAAAAAAAAAAAAAGAAGTAAAACTAGACTTTTTTTTTAATAAATTAGGAAAAAAAAAAGAGTAAGGGTATTTAAGTCTTTTCAGAGGAACATCACTCTCTTCTCCCTTGGCATATATAATAGAAATCAAGGGTTTTCTTAATTTACTTTTATAACATATACTCTACATTAATAATGTTGGAAAAAAAAAACAAAATGTAGAAATTTACTAAAGAGATTAATGTTGCATTCTTAATTAATAACAATGGAATTTCCTCTGTATGTAGGTTAAAACAAAACCAACAATGGTTTAAAAGCCAAAAAAAAAATGTAGCCACCAAGGGCCTTTTCCGTTTTATTGAAAACAATTCAACTAAAATAAATTGAACTCAACTCAACTCAACTGATTGGGGATGAACTGAACTGAAATGAATTGTTTATGAGAGAAGAAAATTAATAACTGAACTTAGCTGAAGTGAAGTGATTGGAGTTGAGTTTAACTAAACTGAACTGAAATTAAACTGAATAACGACATCAAGCACAAGACGGCGTGCCCTAATTCCTAACTTCATGAAGATTAAACCTAATTGATAGAATATGATAAATATTCTCGATATTATTCTATATAGAAGGATATAGTTTGTTAATATTATGTAATTATCTTGTGAGGTATCCTAACATGTTCAGGACTTACTCTTGTAACCCTATATATATTTGATCAATGGAATTACTCCAATATTAGAAGTTTCACAAAATCTAACATGGTATCACAACCAAGGTTTTGATCCAACCTAGCTTTTGCATTAATTTATTTCTTCTTTTATTTCCTCCAAGCCTTAGCTGCCACCCCTACTAACCGTCTCTACCACTAGCCGGCCACCGTGACCAAGGACACTGACACAGCGTCCTCTTCCAACTATCACCTTGCTTTTGGAGTTAACAACATCAAGAATGTTATCCCTAAATTCTTAATCGTGAAAAAGTACAGTACTCGAATTGGGTTGAACTCTTTGAATGTCATGCTCATGCTGACAACGTTCTAGGTAGACCATATTGACCCAAAAACTCCTAAGCCTACGAATTTGTCGAATGCTTTGTGGAAAAGACTTGATTTGGTTGTAAACAATTGGATCTATGGCACAATCTCCCCTGATTTGCTTGACACGGTTTTGTGCAAAGGGGATACGACACAAACTCAATGGGACAAGATCAAAGTAATTTTCCAGGATAATAAAACAACTAGGGCAGTGTATCTTGAAAATCAATTTAATGTTTTGCATCTCTCAAATTTTCTTGATATTTCTTCATACTGTCGTGAATTGAAGAACTTAAAAGATCAATTAGCCAATGTTGATCAACCGGTGTCGGTGCAAAAGATGGTGATTCAAATGGTTTCGGGTCTCGTAAATACTGATTTCGACACTGTTGCTGCCATGATACAACAAATGGACACTTTGCCATCGTTTGAAACTGCTCGGTCCCGTCTTTTACTCGAGGAGTCAAGACGTGCCAATGATACAACAACGTTCGTGACTTTGTTTGTGGCTCAATCAAGCAATTCGACCTCCACAACACCACCTCCACACCAACATACACAACAGCAGCAGTCCATCGGCAGAGGTGGCAGCACTGGTGGTCGGGACTATGGTAAGAGTCATGGCCAGGGCAGGGGTACGGTCCTGGTCGTGGCCGTGGCCAAGCATAACAACATCAGCCCCCTCAACAGTAGCAGGAGGGTGCACCATTGTGGGGGATGCCCAGCAGCAGTAGTGGCCTAGCAGAACGGGCCAGTAGGCCCCTCAATGGGGATATGCCCCCTACCCACACCCACAATAGTGGGCAGCCCCGAGGCTATCCACTCCGCAACAACAGCAGACCTAGCAGAGGCTGCAAGCTTACTACTTAGGCCCCCCGCAACAGCAGCCCTAATATGAAGCCCAAGGTTCAAAGTACGGTTCTTTGATGACCCCAATTGAACTAGGCAATGCTTTTGCGACTATGAGCTTCCCAAACTATTATCCGTCTTGGTACATGGACTCTGGTGCCACATCGCACATGACAAATCAAGTTGGTAGTCTCTTACCAATTTTTTAGTTAAGCACTAATAATTATATTCAAGTGGGTAACGGTCAACTCATTCCAATAACGGGTTACGGTCATTCTACTATTGCTAATAAATCTCTCACTTTACGTGATGTCTATTTAGCTCCTCAAATCCTCAAAAAATTAATTTCTGTTCGAAAATTTCCTAATGATAACTCTATGTCTATAGAATTTGATCCTTGTGGTTTTTCTGTGAAGGATCTTCGAACGAGGAAAATAATAACCAAATGAAATAGTACTGGGGACCTTTATCTAGTACTCCGTCTTCTTGTCTAGCCACCTCTCTCACATCCTTGTCTCCATCTACATGGCACAACCGTCTATGACATCCCGGGGCACCTACTTTTTATTTTTTAAGAACAAGTAATTTGATTGATTGTAATAAGAAGCTTGACTCCAGTACTTGTGTTGGTTGTCAATTGGGAAAATATATTTGCTTGCCTTTTCATCATTCTAAAAGCAATACTTATTCTGCTTTTGACATTATTCATGTCGATTTGTGGACTTATTCTATTCGTAGCAACAAAGGTCAAAAATATTATTTAGTGCTTTTGGATGATTTCACTCATTATGTGTGGACTATCCCCCTTGCTTACAAGTCTCAAGTGTTTTCAAACCTTTCTTAATTTTAGACAATATGTTCTCACTCAATTTGAACGTCCTATTAAGTCTTTTCAACGCGATCATGATCGCGAATTTGATAATGACCCGTTCAAAACTTTATGTGTCAAAAATGGATTGATTTTTTGCTTTTCATGTCCTCAAACATCCTCACAAAATGACAAAGACGAAAGAATGATAAGTACGATTAACAATGTTAAACGTACTCTTCTATTCCATGCTTCCCTTCCTACAAATATGTGGTATTTCACTCTCAAAACTGCAACATATTTGCTTAACATCTTGCTAAAAAAAACTCTCAATCAAATCAATCCAACTCAAGCACTTCTTGGGGTAATACCGTCCTATAGTCACCTTCGGATTTTTGGGTGTCTTTGCTTTCCAAACTTGTCTGCTACTATTCCTCACAAATTAGCACCTCGTTCCACGCCTTGTGTATTTTTGGGTTACCTTACCTATATATATTTTATCAATGGAATCACTCCAATCTGAGGAGTTTCACAAAATCTAACACTAATGTTATACGTAGTATTTAAATGAATGAGTAATAACAAACTTACGGAGTAGGAAATAGTGAGAAGTCGAATGTTCCAACCCAGCTTCCATGATTTCAAGTCTCGATCCATACAAAACGCGAACACGGCAGATTGAATTGATCCCATTATACTCATCAAAGCTGTGCACGAATAAGGACTTGGATAGTTGATACTCATCTTCGCCTATCACAACCCCAAATTATGGATAATTAATGTTTTAAATACTATTAAGAAATAATGCTACAAAATACATGCATTCATAAAATTTAAGTTTCTAATACTAATTTAATTTTCATATCTTAGCCGAAATGCTTTTTTTTTTAGGATCAAAACAAAGTTTGTTCAGAACAAAATAAAACATAAAAGTGTAAAAGGTTGAATAATGGAGGGTGTCCTATAATATACCATTGTTAGACACAAACAAATACATAATAATGACAATTTTATAAATAATAACACTTTGAGAGTAGTACTGAGAGGTAATATAGTACTACTAAACAATCTCATTAGTACTATATATGTTTCCAGTAGTAAAAAAGACACTCTTAGTAATACTTAAAAAAACATTTTAGTAGTACTATTAGGACTTTCAGTACTATAAAAGGTTATGCAATTTTGCTTGTGTCTAACGGTGATGTATTAGAACTTTCTCTAAATAATGATTACCTGCACAATCAACCAAGAAGCATATGAACAACAACCACCAAGCGCAAGTACGGACCCAATTAGACATTCTCGCGCATCATGCATTACTGGTCCATGAGCTGCGTCTTTCATTAGGTGAGCCTTTGGTGACCCTATCTTAATTTCAGCACCTTTATAAAATGTAAGCATCATTGCACCTAAAATCCCAACTATAGTTCCCATAACCTTTGCTCTTCCCGGAAATGTTTTTAGTGTTACCTTCTCCAACCTATGAAAATCGAATTATCTTAACTTCATCAATTAAGATTTATTCAAGCATTATTCAAGGGATTTTTGAATGAGTTAATTAAATAATTATTTTTTGTTTTTAGCTGAGACTAAGGAAGTATTATCTATTATGTCACTTTTTGGAGTAGCTTTACTTCTAATAATTATTTTTCATCTTAATTAAACTTATTTTATCCGATTTAAGAAACAAAATTAGCTATACTAATTTCACGAATCAAAATAAATTTAGACATGATAAGTTCAAAAAATGTAAAAAAAAATGACAAAATAAATAAGTCAAATAAAAATAGTTATGATAGATATATAATAAAATAAAAAAAAAGCTTAAACCAAAAAAAATATATTAGTTAAAATAAAAAATTTAGATAAGTAAATTCAAATAGATAAAATGAAATAGACAGACCCTACGTGCCCCCACTAAATCTTAATTTTATGTTTCTAGTAATATAATAATTTTTTTTACTAAATTCGAGTGATTAAAAATGGAAGAGACTCTCATAAATCAAGCTTATATGCCAAACTTGCCATATTATGTTGTATTCTTGTAAATATTTGCACCAAGTGTGCCCCTTGATTTACTAACAATGTCAATTAGACTTAATCTAAAGTCCCGTTGACTTCATCTTTTTTTTCCTAAACTGAAACTATTTTTGCTAAACTTTTATTAAATTGAAATTAAGGCCCGGTTCATTTCACCATATTTTTACTGAACTGAAATTATTTTTACCAATCTGAAATCATTTTTCCTGAATTAAAATTAATTTTACTGAACTGAAATGATTTTTGCTGAACTTAATTATTTTTACTTATATAATTTTTCTTTAAAGATACCAAATTTTATTGAACTAAAATGAAATCATTTTAACTAAATTGAACTTATTTATACTGATTGAAATTGTTTTTATTTAAAATTAATTTGTTTAAAGTGAAGTAAACAGAGCCTGATTTTATTGAATTGAAATTATTTTTGCTGAAATGAAATTATTTTTAGTGAATTTCTATTAGGCTCCATTCAGTTTACCTTATTTTTGTTGAATATAAATTATTTTGACAGGAATGAAGTTATTTTTGTAGAATTAAAATAATTTTTACTAAACTGAAATTAATTTAACTGAACTGAAATTATTTTTGCTGAAATAAAATTATTTGTACTGATTTTCTTTTATATATCTTCTTTAAAATTATTGAATATTACTAAATTGAATTTTTTTGCTGAATATTATTAGGCCGTGTTCTCTTCACCTTACAAAAATTATATTAAGTAAAAATAATTTCAGTTCAGTAAAAATAAATTCAATTCAGTAAAATTAAGTTCAGTTCAATAAAAATAATTTCAGTTCAGTAAAAATAAGTTCATTTTAGTAAAATTCAGTTTTCTTACAGAAGAATTATAATAGAAAATAAGTAAAAATAATTTCAGTTCAGCAAAAATAATTTCAGTTCAGTAAAAATAATTTAATATCGAAAAATATAATTTTGTTTCAATAAAAATAATTTCAGTTCAGCAAAAATAAGGTGAAGAGAACGGGGCCTAAAACTATTTTTACAATACTGAACTTATTTTTACTGAATTGAAATTATATTTACTTAATACTCCCTCCTTTTTTTTCAGCATTTAGGAGTCTACATAGTTTTAGGAAAGTAATACTATAATATTGGACTGGGTGAATCAATTATTACATTAAAAGTGCTATGGGGATCGAACCATGAAAGAGAAAGTATGTGAGATATGATTAGGGCCATACACTGGTCCAAAACCGGACCGGATTTGACCTAGGCCTGATTGAATCGGGACTTGAATTATTGATATTTAAGGACCGGAGATCAAACCTGAATCAATAGGTTCGGTTCCGCTCCATACCTGAAAAATCAGGTATGATCCGGATTTGGACATGAATAGACCTATTAATTGAATTTTGGTTTTTTTTTTTAAATAAAATAAAACTGCTGCACCTATTTATAAACTTGTTGTTTAGACCTGTTTATGGACCTGTACACCTATTTATGGACTTATTTAGGCCTGTTTAGGATTATTAAATAAAAAACGTAGCTTTACCGATTTTAGGTCCGAACTTGAAACCCAAAATCTTAGATTTCTAAGGACCAAGATTGGACCTAAATTCACTAGTCTGGTCCAAACAGGTTCGGTTTAGGTCGGTTTTCAGGTCCGGGTCAGTTTTTGTACACCCCTAGATATGACAGATATTTTTATTATTTAAATGGAGACCGTGGAAGAAAGAGAAATGATAAAAAAAATTTGAATGGGGTTAAAATAAGAGAGAAAAATAATAAAATATAGTATAAAGTTACCAAATGTAAAAGTTGCGCATTAAAAAAAACCACCCATAAAAGGAAAGTGGTGCAAATAAAAAAAACGGATAGAGTATTATTTTTTTAAAGTGAGGTAGTCAAAAGAGCCTTATAATTCTTCCTTTTTCTGTTTTTTAGAAACCCTCATAATTTATTTATAAAATTACTAAATTTTAGTGAAATGGACAAATCTTTACTAAACTAATCTTATTTTACTAAACTAAACTTATTTTTATTGCACATATTTTTACTTAATACTTTCTTCGTTTTTAAAATATTGCACCACTAACCTTTTTAGGAAATATCACAAATATTGCACCATTTCTATTTTAGGAAAAGAAATATTTGTGTTCACACTACAAATACCAAATATAACCTTGCTTTTTCATACTTCATTTTTCTGTTTATGTATACTATCACATGGGCAATCTTGTATTTTTACCTTTCTCTCTCGTCCTTTTTTCCACTACAAAAAATCTTGTACTAAACCTATATGTTGCAATAAAAAAAGAATGGAGGAAGTATCATATTTTAAGGTGAAGTGAATAGGGCCTAACTTTAATTTTCTCTTAAAAACGTTGAATGTTTTTTATTTTTACAACATGAAATAAAAAATTTAAATAAACACAAAAAAAAATTATATATATATATATATATATATATATATATATATGTATGTATGTATGTATGTATGTATGTATGTATGTATGTATATGTATATATATATTTATACAAAGACAACTACTTGTAACAGAAAAACGGAAGAAATAAGCTAATGACGTAATAATTGAGAATATATAGTAAAATACCTGAAAAAAACAGCAAGAATGAAGGTAATAGCAGGGATAAGATTTAACATAGCAGCAGCAAAGGTGGCAGAGGTTAATACAAGGCTCTCCAAAAATAGATTATAAACCAATGTTCCCCTGCATTAATTTATTAAGGGTTGTATTAGAAAGTTAACGCAAGTTGAACATATGAGTAATTAAATTACCATGAAAATTTTGAATTATGTAGGTTTAGAATTAGAAGTCTTTTACTGTGTTGTCTACTTGTCTTAAGTCGAGTTGTGCAAATTTTGGTTTGATTACATACTAGCAAATTATTTTCAAAACCTAAAGGAATAACTGAAAACTAACAGAACTACTTAGCGTCAGGTTAACCAGGCAAGGACATGCATGGTTTGTTAAAAAATTATAACTAAGGGCTACGGTGTGTAATGTGGAAAAACAATGGACATAACTTGAAAAAGTCAATAACATAGGAGCACTATGTTGAAAAGCCCTAAAAAAAATATAAGACGTAAATTTTTACAATAGTTGTAGTATGGATCAGAGTAGGTTCTAACAAAATTTTCTACTACTTAGTATTTTGTTTTAGCATCATTTATGATTAAAAGAGGGGGGGGGGGTTAGTTATTCATTGATCATATTTACATGTTAGAGGACCTAAAAGTAGAAATACAAGAAATTTCTTAATTAATTAATTCTATATAAACAGAAGTCTGATTAAAAGATCCAAAATATTGGGTGTCAAGAAACAACTAACCCGAATAGTCCACACAGAAAAGCTTGGCCGAGAACCGTCCATGTTAACTTTGGTCTGGTTTTCCTAAGAAAGACAACCAAAAATACACATGGTAATTAGCAGGTTATTACATTTTGTAACATGTCAAAAAAAAAAAAAAAAAAAAATAAGAGAGAGAGAGGGGGGGGGAATTTAATGGGTAAATTACACGTACATTTTGGCTCAATGAAGATTGCTACGGAGTAATAAAAAAAGATGGATAAATTACCCGTCGGACATGATTTAATTAACTTAAATTATATTTACTAATGAACTAAATTTTGATTAACTATAATTGTTCTCTATTGATTAAAATGAAGTAAGGAGTACTTATTTGTACAGAATTTAAAGTATATTTGATGAAATATAATGTTTTTTATTTTTTTGATGAAAAAAATATAATTATTTTTTATGGAACTTAATTACTCCCTCCAATTCATAATGTTAGTCCCATATACTATTTTGGGCGTTTCAAAAATATCTACCCATATTGAATATATTTTACTCATAACTTGATTTTTTTTGTAATTAATTGGTTTTGGATTGATGATATGACTCTAAGTATTTTTTAACAGTGATTAAAGTGAGTAAGGCCTAAAATATAATAATTATTTATGATCATTAAAAGACTCGCACAAGTAATTAAAACATTTATGATTTTTTTGGACAATGAAATAGGAAAGAAAAGAAGGGGAGGGAAGAATAAGGGAGGGAAGAGAAGAAAGATGAGTTTTCCTTTTAAATTTCTCCGTGGTAGGAGAAATCAATTTCTTACAATTTTATCTCTCAATTTATCTACTCTTCAATTCCTTTCCTTCCTCATTTGTTATCCAAAATGATTACCTCCCTTTATTTCTCTTCCTTTCATTTCCCACAATTTTTATCAATCCAAACAAAGTTTACTACGTAAAGCTAGTATATGTTTTTTTTTTTCCTTTGATGAAACATACAATGCAAGTATATATATGTCAATGACAACAAGAGAGTATTACAAAGATAAATTACAAAGATCAACAAGTAGATAATTGTCTAACAATTTAAAGTTACCAATTTAGAAAGGAAAAATGAAAACTAAAATTCCAACATTAGTCCGGTCTTCTCTTAAAAATCCAACATTCCATTAATCTCATAAAAATCCAAATTTTATACTCTACGTTCTCCAACATATCCATTTGACCTATAACACGTTAAACAAGTTAAATTTCTTATTTATTTATTTTTAATCTCTCACTTTCCCTTCTCACTCCTCTCTCCTTAAGGCAGCACGCACCTCCGCCGCCACCACCACCTCTGCCACAACTAACCCCTCCTCACTCTCATTCTCCCTCTCCATCTCTCTCTCACCTCCTCCTCCATGGATCAACCCTCGGTGACATTGAGCTTGCGAATCCAAGAAATTAGAAATAATTGCAAATCCCCTAATGGTGGTTGTGTTTCAAGCAGGTCGAGGAAGGTTTCCGTTTGTAGTTGGTGGCTGGGCGGTTTGGGAGGGTTTGGGTTTGGAGTTGGTGGCTAGGAAATGGAGTTGGTGGCTGGGCATGTATGTTGGTGAGAGGGGAAGGTGGTGGTGATGTGCGTTGGGTTCCGGTGGCTGTGCGGTTTTGTTAGTGGCAGGTGCATTGGGTTCCGATGGGAGGGGGAGAGGGAGTGGTGGCAGGGGAAGGTGGTGGTGGTGGTGGAAAAGGGGTTTCTGATTTTTTTAAAAAATTATATTTGTTTTTTAATAATTAAAAAAGGTAATTGACCTTTTATTAGCTTACCCGTGGCATATAACTTACAAAAGTCGGTCATCAACAGGTAATGGATCTGTTGAAGAACGTGGGGTATAAAGGTTAGATTTTTATGAGATTAATGAAATGTTGGATTTTTAAGAAAAAACCGGGCAAAGGTTAGATTTTTAGTTTCCATTTTTCCATTTAAAAAATGTGTGCTTTACTTTTTTGGTCTTTAAAAATTTTGTTATTTACATATTTGCATGTTCTCCATTAAACAACATTATTTTAATCACATCTTTAGTTTTATATACAAATCATAAACAAATATTGACACCGGTCACACCGCTGGTTGCATTCCCTCCAACCACAAAGAATATTTTAGTATTCTATTTTACAACATTCACATAAAACCTTTTCATTAATTTAAATGGATAAAATTTTTCAATCTACTCATGTGATGTAGACAGTCTTCCTAAAAATAATTTTTCCACTCCACCTTACATCATCTTTCAACTATGAGCATCATCTAATAAAATGCTTACCAAAAGGTTTGAACTCAAAATCACTTAAATGTGAATTAAAAGTCTTGTCATCTTGACTAGATAAATCATGCGTTTATAACCGACTAATAATAATATATTTTTATACATGGAAGGTAGAGAATTTGACTAGTGATGACAATTTCTTAAACCTATCTTATTACTCCCTATATTTCAGAATAATCACAATACTAGACGTTGCATAGTGTTGTATGAGAATTTTAGGAAGTGACATTTTCTAAAATATAACGTATAGTTAGTCGGAGAGGGAAATAATAAAAAGGTAGTGTAACTGTGTAAGACCTTGTTCTCTTTACCCTATTTTGTGCAAGAACTTATTTACTGATCAAAACTTATTTTACTGATTCTTTATTATATTAGTTCTTAAAATTTATCGATTCTTATTTATTAAAAATTAATTTTACTTGGTTGAAATTATTTTTTTGTTACATTAAACATATTTTTGACGAAATTAATTACTAAATATTATTATTTCAAGATGAAAAGAACAAGGCCTAAATAGGGTTATAAAGAGAAAAATAAAACTCTAATATTTCATCAAGTGGGGTTAGTTGGATAAAAATTCTACTATGGTCATTCTTCCATTCTTTAATCTGATTGGTTGATTATTCTTTTTTTTTAATGCTTAATTGGTCAAAATTTCTTTCTTTCTATTTATTTCTTTTTTTTTTTAATTCATTTGATTTTTTCAAAAATTAATTTCTGATTTTTGGAAAATCAATTTCTGATTTTATAATAATTTTATTAAAATCGGTTTTTACTAAAATTTAAAAGAAAAATCAGATTAAATTATAATCAAAATAAAAAAAAAAACTGTTCATCATTCTTCAACATTCATTCCTCCATTAAAGATGATTTTTCTCCGTCATTTCCTTGAAATCCGAGCTCTGTACAGTGTTTATTTATGTTACATTGGTGGGAAATCATTACCTGATTCTTCTTTCCTTCGTAAGGTGTCTCAAATTTTCAACCATCTAAAGTTCTTCAGTTAATTTTTTCTCTTTCTCATCCTTAATTATCCCCAATTTCTAGGGTTTTCTAGGTTCATATTAAAAAATTTGAAACAATTTAATTTTACCCTTTGGGGAATTTGGTGGTTGAATTTGTCTTATTATCTTCAATGTTTTTTCAATTCTTCCCCAAATTTCTACGGATTTTCAAGTTTGAGGCTACCAATCCAGATTTGCTAGATTTAAAAAAAAAAATCTAGAATCATTAGAAACACGATTTTCGAAATCAAATCTTAAAATTTCGTATATACTGTTGATCGGGGCATAATTTTAAACTTCATCGATGTGAGAGTGTATTTATGTGACAAGAATCATTAAGTGGCGGTTAATTTTATCCATGAATGAAGATTATTTTAAACTTTGAGGAACAATGAAGAACTTTTACTTTTTAGTTTAATTTTATTTTTTAATTTTAATAAAAACTGATTTTAATTAAATAACTATGAAAATTACAAACTAATTTTCCAAAAATCGAAAATTAATTTTCAGGGAAAAAAATGATTTAGATAAAAGAAAAAAATTATAAAAAAGAGGTTTGACCAATAAAAAAAAGGGGAAAAATCAACCAACAGAATTAAAGAATAATGATGATCATAATAAAAATGACAGATTTTTCACCAAATACCATTGAGTTTTAACATAATTCACCAAATAACACCAACATTTTTCAAATTCACCATATACTCTTCAGTTTTATAAAAATGTCACAATATGCCATTAATGACTAACAGACGTTAACACCGTTAGTCATAAAGGTTAATAAAGCCACGTGGCAACATATAATTGGTTCCCTTTTTAAAATTATTTAATTTAAAAACAATTATTTAATTAATTATCAAAAATTTAAAAAAAAAGAAAAAAAACCAACCACCCATGTCTCTCCAGCCAGCCACCACCGGCCGACGAAACTCGACCAGAACCCTTACGCCGGCACTAAATCCGACCAGCACCCCCGTACCGGCCCGAAATTTGACCAGAACCCCCGTCGGCGTTACTCCTTTTCCCTTGAAATACGGTGTCCACGAAATTAATCAACCGAACCACCAGCCGCGAAACAACCTATCACCCTCGAAAAACCCTCCCTAACCACCAGTAGGTGTCCAAACCCACCTCCCCCGCATTGGCGAACTGATTTCACCCCTCTTGGTGTCATCTCCACCCCAACTAAACCACCACGTACGTCGAAACCCTAAAACCAAAATCTAGGGTTTCAATTTTGGTGTTTTAGGGTTTCGGGTGGTTGTTTTCAGCAAATTGGGCGGGGACGATGTGAGAGAGGGTTTGGCCTACCGACAAAGGTAGTGGCTGGAAATTATAGGAGGGAAAGGGGAGTTCGCAGGTGGTCTGGGGAATTCGACAGGGAGAGGAGAATTTGTAGGTGGTGGCTGGGGTCGAAAATGTAGCCGGCGCAGGAGGGGGGGTTGGTCGCCGGCCTGCCGGAGGTGGAGGTCGGGGCTGGGGTTGTGGCGGTGATGGCTAAGTTAGTGGATTTTTTTTAAAATTTAAACTAATTTCTCTAAAGTTAATTAAATAAATGAAATTATTAATTGTTTCAATTTTTTTTTAATAAAAACCAATTAAAAGCTGCCACGTGGCGTAATTAATATTAATGACTTACTGAGTTAACGAAAATGGCATGTTGTGACATTTTTGTTAAACTGAATGTTATATAGTGAATTTGAAAAATGTTGGTGGTATTTGGTGAATTATGTTAAAACTCAATGGTATTTGGTGAAAAATTCGTAAAAATGATCGTGAAGCGAGAAATACTACGTAATAAATAGTGGTGGAGAAATGAAGGGAGTATTTGATAATGTTCATCGATGTACGGAGTAATATTTTTGCAAACAAATTAAGTATTGTGCAAGTAATTTTAGTTGTTTTTTTTTTATAATTATGTTTTGTTTTTAATAATCATTGTGTAGTACTCCGTATAACACGATATGTCCGTGAATTTTTCATACATTTCCAACTTTATCTATTTAAGAAAGTTAGAAAATAATACAGTCAATAAATAAATAAGGTTAATGCTATATATAGCCTTAAGGGCTAAATATAAGCATTAAATACGCTATAGAAATTTGTGTAAAATTAGGAATTCATGACAAAACACGCGTAAATCAATGTAATTAGTGTTTATATTTGATAACTTCTTAACTTTTTACAATTTTCAAGTGTAAACTTAATATTTATGTATATCCCTAACGACTATGTATAACATTTTCCAATAAACACATGTCTATCCAACCAAAATCATTCAGAATACAATTTGGAACATCGTTCATTATGACACATTGACACGCACTAGATTTATATGGGGTACCATTTTCCAACAATACTACGTATAATTTTGAGCCCATTTGATTACTTTACGCGAGGAAAATTTACACCAATGCTAAATGAAATTTTTTTTCTCCTTAATGGAATTCTTGACACGAACAATAATAATTAAATAAACGTCACACATTTAATGCATTTAGTTACAATTTTAATTTAATTCTACTATAATAAAAAAAACAAATAGAATTACGACTTTGCTACTTCAATTTCGCTGTTGTGTCACTTGTGTGTGTTGGGACTCGTGATAATAAGAACATAATTGCTGAATCATCCCAATTCCCAACAGCTGTAAAGATTTTGGTCTTCAACACAAATTTGGTTGAGTCACGTAATTATTTGAGTTTATAATGCAATTGAATGGTATTTAATGTTTCATTTTGAAATACCATTCTTAAGATATTGGCTCATTTATTTCCAAAGCAAGCAACCTTGCATGCATGCATGCATTTTTCGAACGAGTTTTTTTTTTCCTACTAGTAATATTTTTATGGTGGAGAAAAATACTAAAATAGTACACTCTCCATATTTTTATGCTTTCTACTTTGAATTTTATTATCTCCTTTATAAGTAAAAATTTCAGGTATGAAAACAACAATTGCCGGAAAATAGGCAAGGTCGGATTGATGAAGTTAATTAAAAAGTTAAAAGACAATAAATGAAAAGTCAATACCCAAAAATAATCAAACTACTAGAATGCGGCATGCCATAGGTACTATATAAAGTAGTTTTTCAAAAAAAAAAAAAAAACAAAAAGAAAAAGATTTGATAATTTAATTTTCCAAAAAACAAAAAATTCCTAATAATAATAATAATAAAATAATAATAATAATAGTAATAATAATAATAATAATAATAATTATTATTATTATTATTATTTTTATTACTACTACTACTACTACTTATAATTATTTATTAGGGAAAAAATATATGCAGCCCTTAGGGCTGCACACAAGAAGCTAAAAGTGCAAAGAATAAACATGATTTTATCATTTATTACACCGATTTACTCGTGAATTGTTGATAAATTCCCATATTAGTACTAAAAAATAAAGTATATTAAATGGTTATATGCAGCCCTAAGGGCTGCATATAGCATTACCCTTATTATTATAGTAATAAAGTTTTTCTCAAAAAAAAATATAATTACAGATAAATCTAAGATTATACTATTGTATTAATTCTATTAATTGTTATAAGAAACCTTAAAATTATCTTACTAATAATATATAATATCCCAAATATGCATATAAAATCAACGGAAGTAGTATATGAAAAACAACGATTACCAATTTTGCACGGTAATAGACATTTTGAGGTGAATGCCAATCAATTAGATTTGAGGTGTTAGATTTCTTTAAAAAAAAAAGGTTTGAGGTGTTGGGTTCAAATCCCATTAATTAATTATTAGGCCGTATACTTTGAGGTGAGATTGCTCATTCTCTTCCTCCGTTAAAAAAATTAAGAATCTAAAATGACAAGTTAATTGTACTCAGTATAGTAATACTACCCTATTAGGACGATTCATTACCATTTACCAATAAAAAAAAAAGAAAATAAATTTCTAAGGCCTTTTGGGAGGACAAACTAGTTTTCGTTAGAATGATTTTTCAATTTTTATACAAACTTGCATACAAATTCATTACCATTATCGAATGTTATGATTGTCGTTGCCAAAAAAGAGAGAGAAAAGGGAAAGAACCTTTCAACAAAGTAAGCGACTGGGACGATGAAGGCGGCCGCGAAAAGAAGGCGATATGCCACTAAGACCCTGAGGTTCATGCCATCAACTGCAGCAAGCTTGTATAAAATGTTGACAACAGCAAATGAAACTTGAACAGTTACCATCATAATTATTGATTTTATGTCATTCATGAATTGCCAAAACTCAACCATTTTAAAAACAAACCCTAAACAATGAGGAAAGTTGTACTTCTATTCCCCCAAAGTTAAAGAAGATTTTTTTTTTCTTATTCCTTTTTTTTGCTTGTTTTGTGTTTGCAGTGCAACAGAATTGAAGCTTGATATTAGAGTGTATTTATGAGCATGGAAATTTAAGAAGAGTGTTTTTGTTTTTCTTCTTGGGATACCCCCAATTCAAGTCGTATGTAAATATATAATTGAGGTTCCCTTAAAAAAAAAAGGTATATAACTACTAAGGTTGATGTCCAAATGTTAAGTGAAACACTTTGTGGCTTGGAAGTCAAGCCATACGGTATGTCAAAGGATGCTTGTATATAGTACTGGTCCAACTAATGATTTTTTTTTTTGGGTAAATCATGAAACACTTTGTGTACTGGTCCAACTAATGTTTTTTTTTTTTGGGTAAATCAAGATTTCTAAAGGATGCTTGTATATAGTACACCCCATTTTATAATATGTAAATTTCATTATTGTAGACTTAGGCTCGATTTCATTCACCTTAATTTTGCTGAACTGAAATGATTTTTACTAAACTGAACTTAATTTTACTGAACTGAACTTATTTTTACTGAATTGAACTTATTTTTACTGAACAAAACTTATTTTTACTGATCAGAACTTATTATTTTATTGATCAGAACTTATTTTTACTGATTTACATAATATATCTACTGATTTAATGTATAGATATATTAGGTAAAATAATCTTTTTTTGTAATTTATATAGTTGGCATATATAATTTCATTTGATATACATGATATATTTACATATACTTGTATATTATATTACGTATTTAAAGTCTAGGCATCTTTTCTATCCTACTGGCCGGCCATAGTAGTAATTAAAATGCCTTTTGTTGCCTAATTTTACTGCCAAACATACCAAACCAATAGAGCTTATATAATAATAATAGTATTAATATTAAAAATAATAATAAAAAAATCATAGCTTTATTATAATCATAAATTGTTACAAGGATTGCTTCTTATTGCATATGACTATTTGAGTTTATTAATCAGTGTTCATTTGATGATCTTCTTCCTCGATGTCCCTAGCTGATTGCCAAATTTCCTCTGCTATCTCATTTTGCACTACATTCATTTGAGCTTTCCTACCTTCATCAAATATGGAGTATTCCGCTCTAGGCTCAACATTTGCAACTCTTTCTGAAATTGGTATCCCTAATGTGTACAAGCGGATAAAATTATGAAGCGTAAACGTTGATATGATGATTGATAATTGATATGTTTGAGACATTTGTGGCATGTTTTTTAAAATTTTCCATTGCCCCTTAACATTGCAAAAGCACCTTTCAATCGTAGTACGCAATGAATGACGATAATTGTAATGTTCCTGCATTCATTGAGGTGGACCATTGTGAAATTCCGGCATATGATACCTTACTTACTTGTTTTTAATTGGACTCAAATAACCGAGTGTGTTAGGGTAACCTGAATCCACTAAATAATATTTTCCTGATAAGAAAATAAAAAATTCATTAGAATAAATTTTCCTGCGAAAAGAAAATTATAATAAAGAATGACCTACATACCTAGAGGAGGGTGTGGAAATTCAAATTTAGGATCAGTTAAGCAATTTCTCCACACCGTTATATCATGAGCACTTCCTTGATATCCAACATTGACAAATGTGAATAACCTATTAAAAGAGCATGAGGCTAGTACATTCAAAGTTTTAGTTCCTTTACGTCCTTGAAACGGTTGACCCTCAACATCGGACACAACTACATCAATATGAGTTCCATCTAAAGCACCAACACAATCCTAACACATGAAAATTATTTTTTTTATTAAATTATGCTTTTATAAATGCATTTATATAAAAATTAAATAACATACTAACCTTAAAAAAAAGGCCAATATAATGAGTTTTGTTGTACTTCTGTGGTGTATCGGCCAAATCCTGATAAGGATGTATTAAATTACATGACAATCTTGTCAATGATCACAACACCCTTCTGAAATATATGCTAATTGTTGATATTGAGTGATTAAATATGTCAGCAGCTTGGCGTTGAGATGCCCCTCTTGCCAAAATAAATAGACCAATTCCTATTTGTTCAGCCACTTTTACAAACCTTCCGTCCGATAATAAATTTTTTTCTATCATCAATTGGACTAATCTCACAAACATATCTCTATCTAATCTTAGCTGCTCTTTAAACAAACCAGGATCAACTGTTGACAACCTTGTTATATATGCTGATCCACTTTCACCCCCGATCCTTAAAGGTAAGCGATGAATTGGGGTAAGGAGTCTCAACAATTCATATAGTACCAAAAAAAAGTATGCATTTCTGAAGCAACTCATTGTCCATTCTACAATATAAAAGCAACAACAAGAAGTGAGATCTCAAATTTTATGATTTTCCAATTCGTCCCACCCAAGTAGGTATATATAAAATTACATGCAATACAAGGGTATTATTTGTTTTACCATATATACAAAGAACGCAAAAGAAAGAGATAAGAGATTTATTTGCCCATATATTTTCCAATATCTCGTGTGTATATATATAAATATATATATAAAACTACATGCAATACAAGGGTATTATTTGTTTTACCATATATACAAATAATGCAAAGGAAAGAGACAAGAGATTGATTTGCCCATATCTTTTCCAATATCTCGTATATATCATATATATTTAACTTTTTTTTATTAGGAAACATATATATTTACCTTGGTTATATATATTGTAAAATTTACTTATATAACATTTTCATCAAATACATATCTGGTAAAATTACATGTATGACAAAGTATATACCAGAAGAAAAATAGTGTTTACAAAAAATAACACTCGTATTAAGAAATGTTAATATTTTGTTCCTTAATATGGATGATGAAATAAATGAGTACATATATATATGGTAAGAATAATGTGTGTATGATTTCACAATATTTTATATATATTTTTTTTTTGGAAAAATAAAGATCATAAATTATATGTCAAAGTACTCTATAGTGCCTATAAAAACCTCTTTTTCATAGCTCTAGTTCATCCAAGTTGAGCTCGTAGCCTTCAAAACTTCATGGGTTCAAGAATCAAATTCACCAATGACACTACTAGAAATTTTTTGGAGATTCTTCTCCAACACAAAATCGATGGAAACTCAAAGCTAGATTGGGAAAAAATTGTTTCTTGTCATCTATTATTCAAATTATATTAATGATGTATGGTAGTAATTTTAGTTAATGTAATTATCTGGTAATACGGAAATATAAAGGAAGACCCATACAATTCTTGAAGAGGCCATTAGCTAATGAAGATCTGATGCATGCTTATTCAAGGCCACATTTGCAACCAGTAAATTGGCTATCTCCCCCTCAATGGAAAAAATGCATCACTATTTTTTTATTATGAAGATCAAGAACCCACAGGAGACAATGATGATGAGCAAGATGATCATTTAATTTAAATTTAAACTTAACCCCCGAGGATAACAATATAAATCTTGAGAAGGAGCCTTCTACAATATCACCTCTTTTAGGAAAGCGTAAGAGTTTGGGGGAAACTAGTAAAATTAATAAAAAAAGGATGAATGACATTGATAAGAGTATGGAGGTTGTGAAATCAACATTCAGGCTCAGTCATCAAAGGTACAAAGCAATTCAGTACAAGAAAAGTTCAATCTCCTTGCTGCAACTCTTAAAGAGATCCCTCAAATGAAAGATTACACTGATGATTTTTATATCCATGTTTTAGAGTACTTAACTCAAGATCACAATAGGGAATTTTTCATGGCACTTGCTACTAATCATCAGAAATTGCTTTGGTTGAAGTCAAGGGGTATACAATTTCCTGGAGACTATTATACTCCCCAATTTGATGATGAAATAAATGATGAGGACAAAAAATAATGTGGTGGAGATTATTATGCCTTATGTTTATGCTTCAATAAATGAGTGTTTATTTTAATAAAAACTTTGGTCCTTCGTAATAATTTGAATAAAATAATTTCGTTATATTTCTTTTGACGTTGTATGTTTATCTTTTTTTTTCTTTACATATATATATATATATATATATATATATATATATATATATATATATATATATATATAATAATAATTTCGTTATATTTCTTTTGACGTTGTATGCTTATCTTTTTTTTTTCTTTATATATATATATATGTATGTATATATATATATATATATATATATATATATATATATATATATATATATATATATATATATAATGCTACTCCATACTAAACTACTCGTACAATATAATTATACATCGCTTGTAGTCTTCATTCCCTATTAATGATAATGGTGTGGACAAAAAAAAAATAAAAAATACATATATATGTGTGTGTGTGTGAAGTATATAAAAAACATTTGTATGACAATATTTTGCAATATATGGAAAATTTAATTTACATAAAAAATCCTACTTAAAAATAATCCTACTTAACTTTTCTGAAATTATTTTTTTCCTGAACTGAAATTATTTTTGCTGAACTGAAATTATTTTCACTGAACTGAAATTATTTTTATTGAACTGAAATTATTTTTGCTGAACTGAAATTATTTTTGCTGAAGTAAAAGTATTTTTACTGAATTTATTTTTACTACACTGAAATTATTTTTACTGAACTGAAATTAATTTTACAGCACTGAACTTATTTTTACTGAACATAAATTATTTTTACTTAATATTTTTTTAAGGTGAACAAAACAGGGCCTTAGGGTCAGTTCTCTTCAGATTATTTTCAGTTAAGTTTAGTTTCAATATGTTCAATTCAGTTCAGTTCACTTCTTAATTTCCTTCGCTCGTAAAATATTCAGTTCAGTTTAGTTCAATTCAGTTAAGTTCAACTCCAATAAGTTCATTCTATTAAGTTTAGTTCAGCTAATTTCAGTCAATCAAAACAGACCCTTAGGCTCTACTTTTCTTACTCTAATCCAATAATATTTATAAATATATAGTTGGAAAAATTGTAAATAATAATCCCAACTTTGCTATATTTTCTTTTTAATTTTGGATTATTGTAGAATAATCCAAACTTTGGGAGCTGCTTACTTTGTTCAATATCAATTACCGATGACTAGTTAAAGGTGTTAATTTTTTTTTTGTAAAAAATAAACCAAAATTCAAAAATAATTATCTATTACTAAATTTTAAGTTTAAACTAAAAAGTAATTAAAAACTTTTTTTTTACAAAAAAAACAGGGGTACGTGACTGGCTGCTCCCAGCCACGTCACTGCCGTTATAGCAACCAACCACTACAACGCAGACCGAAGCCCAATTCCTGTAGCCCTAGCTGATGCAGCCATGCAACAAGCCTAGTGACGCCAATAAATAGGCCACCACTCGAAACTCCACTAAAACTGTGCACCTCAAACAAAACCACAAGCTACGTACTCTTGCTAGAAATTAAAATCACCACTCAAACTCCCATTAAAACCGTGCTAACTCCAGTCATCACCACCACTCGAAACTCCTTTAAAACAACCTCCCCCGCTTCAAAACATCCTAAACAATTCTTCCCCACCATTGA